ATATATCAAAAACAAAACAAGTTTTATAGATCGACAAAGCATTTTTTGTAATTCAGACACCAATATATATTATTATATGTATTAAACAAATTAAAAATTCTTCGTATGCGAAAAATATATCGTTTTCCAAACACAAATCGCGAGATACGTTAAATGCCAGGCTAATCTCTCTTAGATGCGCCTGGAAAAACAAGGCCTATGTCGCTAAGGGCGGCCCAATAAGATCATACTAAAAACCAGCCACGGACATAGATACATAATACACAATCATCGTAAAATGCGTAGCACAATCTCCCAATTAATGGTTTGGATTGGTTTTAGAGGTAAGAGGACGGTTGTCCATTTAACATCAATATAATCCAGGGGTTTAGTCCCTAAACCGCTAACTCAAACCAACAACTAAGGGTAATTGAGGCGGGTGCTAAAAAAACCAAAACAATTATGAAAAAGAGTTCCAATATATTCCAACCCATTAAAAATAACCCATAAACCGAGACCAAAACGTCCGCAGCCGTTCTCCAAACATAGGTCGCGAGATGCACTAAGGGCCGGGCTCATCGTTCTTAGATACGTCTGGAAAAAGAGGACTGCGTCGCTAAGGACGGCCCGATAAGGTCATACCAAAAACCAGCCACGAACACAGAAACAAAATATACATTCATCGGAAAACGCATAACACGATCTCCGAATTATTAGTTTGGATTACTAGTTTAGAAATTAAAGAATAATTTCCCATTTAATTTTAGCATAATTTAAGTATCAAACCTCAAAGCACCAATCCAAACCAACAATTAAAGGTAAATTGCGACGGGTGCCAAGAAAAGAAAATCCAATCGTAAAAAAGAAGTCCAATATATTCCAACCCATCGAAAACAACCCATAAATCGAGGCCAAAACGTCCGCAAAAACGCGATCTCACGAAGCTTCATGCATTGTTCCTAAAGCATCGCACAAGCCGAACTCTCAGGGGCCAAGGCCCAAAAACACTTCTTTTCTTTTTACTACAACAAAAAATAAAAATTATGTCAAAAAAACGACAAAACAAATATCACTACGACAAAATCCTACACACACACCAACAAGGCTCTACACATTTTGCATAAGGAATTATATGCACTATAATTCTTGTATTACACTTTGTGTACGGGGCAAAGCTTTGCTTTTATTATCTATATAACACTTATTTCAATATAAATCATATATAAATTTATAAAAACATTCTCTATTAATATAAAAAAAAACATAATTTCGTAAATTTCATAATAAATCATTATAGCTATCCCATCATAAATTCGTTATGCACCTCGTTATAACCCATATATCGTGAGTTGTTATATATCCCATGTTCCCCATCATAAATTTTAATCGTTATATAACCATATCGTGGCAAAGCCCATAACTTCGTTATATTCGCGCATCGGGACCTATCATGGATTATGTTATCCAAATTATGGTCCACCATAAATCACGTTATAACCTTTCCGTAATCGTATATCCCGTCATGTGATCGTAGTCTTAACCCTAATGTATCATATAGCCTTCTACTTACATAACCCATAACGTTATCATATCTATATTATATGCTTACATAAATCCCACAAATCATAACCCATCATTCGTCCGTCTCCTTTCCCGCCGTGTAACTTGTTATAACCCCATCATTAGCCCGTTATAATCCCCCACATAACCCACGTTGGTAGCCAGTAGTGACGACTATATCCCCTCGTAAATATAATATTTATTCCCTTAATATGGCCTATCGCAATCCAGCATTCGATGTATCGTAGTTTAGTTTTATATAGCCCGTCATAAGTCTTACAAATGGCTTTGTCGTGGATATCATCGAATAACCCATGGAAATTTAAATGGCCCATCCTATCGTGCAAGCCCCAATATGTCATATCCTATCATGCGCTATGTTATCGCCCCCCCATCCCATCATGCAAGCCCGTCATAGTCCCCTATATGGCCCGTAACACTCCAATTCTTCGGCCCTATTAGTGGCGGCTATCCCTTCATAAATATGCGGCCTATCGCGATCCAATAATTTAATTCGTCATAGACTCGTCTTGTGGCCCGTCACGGGCGCCATCGTATAACCCACGGATGTATATGGCCCATCACGTCGTATAAGCTCCAAGATGTCACATCCTATCATGAATTGTATTATCGTCCCCCGTATCTCGTGCAACCCGTCGCAAATTCCGTCGCGGCCCCGCATTAGCCGTCTTAGTCCCCCATATATTACCCGTAGCACGTCCCTCCAATTCTTTGGCCGATGTTATTGACGGCTATCCCTTTATAATTACGTGGCCTATCTCCATCATGGACTCGTCTTGTATAGCCCATTACAGGTCTCGGAATAGCTTCGTTACGGGCACCATCGTGTAACCCACGGGTTTTTATTATATGGCCCATCCCATCGTATAAGCCCAATATATCATACCCTATCATACACTGTGTTGTTTCCCCCCTCCCGTTGTATAGCCCGTCGCAAATCCCGTCGTAGCCCCGTCATTAGCCCCGTCGTGGTGCTCCATATGGCCCGCGGCACGTCCCTCCTCCAATTCTTTGGCCATGTTGGTGACGACTATCCTCTCATGGATACATAGCCTGTCGTAGTCCAATCATTTTATCCGTCGTGGACTCGTCTTGTATGGCCCATCACAAGTCTCGCAATGGCTTCGGCGCGGGTGTCATTGTATAACCCATAGGTGTTCATATGGACCATCCCGTTGTGAAAACCCTAATATATCATATCCTATCATAAACTGGATTCTCTCGCCCCCCCGTCCTATCATGGCCCCCTAACCCGTCGTAATCCCCCGCACGTAGTACATCCCTCCAATTAATGTTGGTGACGTCGCAGTCCAATCACTCGATCCGTCGTGGACTCGTCTTGTGTTGGCTTCGTCGCGGGTGCCATCGTGTAACCCACGGGTGTTAATATTACCCACCCCTTGTGTAAGCCCAACATGTCACGTCCTGTTGATCATGAATTGTGTTGTCGCCCCCCCCCCTCCCGTCGTAAATCCCGTGGTGACCCCGTCCCGTAGCACTCTAATTCTTTGGCCCGTGTTAGTGGCGGCTGTCCCCTCATGGATGCGAGGCCTATCGTAATCCAGTCATTTGAGCCGTTGTGGACTCGTCTTGTGGTCCATCACAGGTCTCGTAATGTCTTCGTCGCGGGCGCCGTCGTGTGATCCATGGGTTCTTACATAGCGTATCCCGTCGTGTAAGCCCCAACATGTCACATCCTGTCATGAATTGTATTGTCGCCCCCCCCGTCCCGTCGTGTAGCCCGTCGCAGGCCCCGTCGTGGCCCCGTTATTGGCCCGTCGTGGTAGTGTGTGCCAAGAACAGACCAAATCTCGAGCCCGTGCCGGCAAGACATTTTTTGCAACTCAGGCACATATACATTTTTACTCTTCGCACGCGAAAAACATGCCGTTCTCCAAACACAAGTCGCGAGACGCATTGAGGGCCGGGCTGGTCGCGATAAGGTCACGCTAAAGAGTCAGTGAAAGGCGATCGCCTGAGCAAGGTGAGAACGGATCCGCGGGCTGTTGGCCTCAAAAGATCCATCCACATATGCAGTTTTTGCAATCGCAAGCGAAAACGCAATCGACCAGAAAACATCCATCCTAAGCGCAAGCAAAGCCGAAACTCTCAGAAGACGGGCGCAAGATTTCAGCCAAAGTGACTATCACAAGCAGATATATTCCCCGATTCTTTATCTAGAAGACACAACGGCTTCAAAGCCCGGACCATTTTTCCAAAATATCCCGGATATTTCGATAGTCGTACTCCAGACCATTTTTCCGAAATATTCCGGATATTTCGACGATAACATTTCCCGAAATATTTGGAATATTTCAGGAAAATGGTCCCCGAAATATTCGGAGCATTTCGAGAAAATGGTGGGTGGCTGCGATTCCCGGACCGCTTTCCCGAAATATCTGGAATATTTCAGGAAAATGGTCCCTACAATAATTGAAACCACTATGTTTTCCGAACATATGCCCGGGCTAGCCCGGACAGATTTGGGCAAGCGGTCCGTAGGAAATATGAAGCGGTTACATCTTCCAGGGGCAGCCCGGACCAATTTTCCGAAATATCCTAAATTTTTCGGAAAAGCGATCCGGAAAAACGCGCGCAAGTGCGACGAGCAAGTTTCATGCTTTCGTTTTATAGAATATAAATAAATACCATTTAAAAATTTCTTCAAATTAAATATTATAACCTAATCTAACATATGTTTTAATAATATAATTCATATTATAATTAAAAAATAATTATATATAATCAAACCATTATAAGAATGCATTAAAAAACATAACAAACTCAATATATTCAATCATAATACCATATAATAATAAATCAATTCTATTTAATTATTTATATATTCGAATATTTTATTTCATCATTTAAATTATATTATCAATTATATTCTAAATTATCAAATTAAACAAATATTATTCAATTCATATTTTATATTACTCCCCAATAATGTTAAACAACAAAGAATCGTGCAACATATAAAATAATAATAAAATTAATATTAATAATAATATAATTATTAATAGTAATTATACCCGTTCTAATATTTTTCTTATAACTATATCATATTTTATATATATCTAGCATACCAGTATATATTTATATTCCAATATTTATGTATTTATTGTTCAATTCTTATATATTATTTATCAATTAATAATCAACAACCATTAATGTCTTTCTAAACTTAAAAAATAAAAACATAATATATGTGAAAAATAATGATTTTTAAAAACAAGTGTCCGGCGATTTTTCCAGTAATATTTTATCTACATTCCCCCCATTCTAGGGTGTGTCATTCTTTTACGTACCCTCCAAAATGGTTTTCGGTTTTTCTTTGGTTTGCCGGAAAACCCATCCAATAAGTGGCCTCAACAAAAGACAGCGTCCCGAACAAGACTCTCCTGGGGCAAAGTGCAAATGCCACGCGCACAAACTTTTGCTGTTCGCCCTGATTGTTTCGGTCACAGCAGTAGTCCACGAAAGCACTTGCATGCAAGGGTTAGGCTCCGTCGCCATCTTGCTGCTTTGCAGCCAGGTTTTCAGGATGCCACAAAAAAAAAGGTGACTTTGAAATTGATGCTTTCGCATGGAGTCGTAGTGGCCAAAGAACAAGGCGGGAAGTGCAAGAAATGCATTTGGGTGCCATGCAAAAGCACACAGTATCCGCGTGAATCTTTTGTAGATTGCCCACGGTCTCAAGGCCTTCAGCCTCCACCTTCTCCTTCTCCTTCACCGCCTTCGCCCTCACCTTCCCCCTCACCATCTCCATCTCCATCTCCGGCGCCATCATCCCCTGGCCCAACAAACACGAGAGGCGCGCAAGCTGGGAGCGAGCACCGAGACCCGAGCAGAAAGCACCATCGAAAGAAAAAAAGAAAAAGAAAAAAAAACGGGTTCGGTGCGCCTCCATCCATGGAGCCCATGATGGCGCCGACTCCCGCCTCCTCAACCAGACTGGAAACAACCAGCTGAGTGCCTCAAAAGACTACACAGTGCCCTGTTTACAAGTAAGAGGCTCCCACGCCTTGGCTTGGGGGGGCTCATGTTTTTTTTTTACATCTGGCATGTGGCTTCACGCATTCCACTGGACTGATCAAGTCAACACGTCCTGGTCATCGGGCACTCTCTTGCGAACGATGGTGGCAACCTGCCACGTGCGAGGAGTGCTGGTGACACAGAAAAAAGTTGGGTATGCATCGCCACCAGCTGGACCCTTGTAAACTTCTTGTAACAAGAAACCAACTTGCAAATAATTTGCCAATAAATCAGCCGATGCTAATCAAGCATGGAGATTGCAAGGGCTCTCCTCCCCCCGCCGTTTCGCTCTTTAGCTCATTGTGTTGCGTGGGTTTCCTTGGATTTTTCCATACACGCCGGCAGCTCAAAAGCATCCCAAACGTCATCACGTGAACTAGCTTGAACCAATTTCTGGTATATGTCTATGTGTCTCTCTCATGTATCTTTGGGAAAATGCGCAAGCATCAAGAAGAATCATGTCAGAAAATAGGAGACTCCAAAGGGTCAGTTTCTTTTCGCGTCCTTTTAAAGCTATCCCAAAAAGAGTTGGTCTCAAAATAAAAAGAGTTGGTCTCAAAATAAGAAGCTCGTTGGCCTTGTTGCTTTGAAAAAAACGTTATGAGTTGGAGCAAAAAACGAAAGGTCTTAAACCTGTGTGGATTCCAGGGCATGGTCCGGGCCTACCGTCTTTAGCAGCCAAAGAATACCTAAAACCATGAAAGCAATGCGAAACCAACCTGATACCGACATGAAACCAACATAAAACAAGCATACAACCAACATGAAACAAACATGACATCATCATGAAACTAAGATAAAACAAATGCAAACACTAACATGACAGCAACATGAAACCAACACGAACCGCACATGAAATCTTGATTTGCTGTTGTTTTCATGCTAGTGTCACACTGCTTGCATGTTGTGCTTATACTGGTTTCATGTGGAGTTCAGGTTGGTTTCACGTTGGTTTCAGGTTGGTGTAACATTGCTTTCATGTGAAACCAACATGAATGCAACATGAAACCAACATGAAACGACTATGAAACCAACATAAAACCAACATGAGCCAATAGAAGGTCAACATGAAACCAACAACATGAAAGCAACATGAAGGCAACATCAAAGCAACATGAACCACCATGAATGCAGCATAACCATAACATGAAAGCAACATCCGACATGAAACCAACTTTAAAGGGATTTCGAACCAACATCAAACCAACATGAAAGCAATAACATGAAAGCAACATCAATGCAAGGTAAAAACAACATGAAACCACCATGAATGCAGCATAAACACAACATGAAAGCAACATGAACCCGACATGAAACTAACTGGAAAGGGACATCGAACTAACATGAAACCATTATGAATGCAAGAGAAACACAAGACGAAACCAACGTGAATGCCACATGAAACCAACATGAAAGCACATGAAACCAACATCAATGCAACATGACACCTGAAAACAACATGGAAGCAACATGAAGCCAGCATGAAAGCAACACGGAAGCGACATGAATGCAACATGAAACCAGCATGAAAGCCACATGAAACCAACATCAATGCAACATAAATCCAGCATGACCGCAACATGAAACCAACATTAAGAAAGCAACGAGGAAGCAACATTAATGCGACATGAAACCTGAGAGCAACATGGAAGCAACATTATTCTTTCATTTGACGGGGTCCAAATGCTCCTTCCAAATGCCGTGCATTCGCCTTGCCACTGCCGGCCACCAAGGCCGACTGCACGCAGGACTGAAAGGAGGTGTCGTTGTACCAGCCCTGCATGGCCTGAGACGAACGTATGCACAAAGAAACAACTGAACCCCTGGTAAGTGGAAATATGGACCAAAGCCTGCGGTCCCCTGGTGGTTTCATTTTGACCCATAGAGCCACACCCAACTGCAGAATCGGCAGAACTGCGATTGTCCCTAAACCTCACCCGGCACACGCAAACAAATGCAGACACACGCAAACAAATGCAAAAAACACGCAAACAAATGCAAAAACACACACACACACACACACACACACACACACACACACACACACACACACACACACACACACACACACACACACACACACACACACGCACACACACGCACGCACGCACGCACGCACGCACGCACGCACGCACGCACGCACGCACGCACGCACGCACGCACGCACGCACGCACGCACGCACGCACGCACGCACGCACGCACGCACGCACGCACGCACGCACGCACGCACGCACGCACGCACGCACGCACGCACGCACGCACGCACGCACGCACGCACGCACGCACGCACGCACGCACGCACGCACGCACGCACGCACGCACGCACGCACGCACGCACGCACGCACGCACGCACGCGCACGCACGCACGCACGCACGCACGCACGCACGCACGCACGCACGCACGCACGCACGCACGCACGCACGCACGCACGCACGCACGCACGCACGCACGCACGCACGCACCCACACACACACACACACACACACACACACACACACACACACACACGCAGAGGCAACAAAAAGAAGACCCAGGCGTCTCGCAGGGATGCAACTGCCAAGATGCGAAGAAGATGAAGAAGAAGAAACAAAGCAGCGTCAATGCCTAAGGTCTGATCGTCTGATGGCGCAAGATTCACGCACAAACAGCATATGGGTCTGTCGGCCTTTTTGAGGGTAGCCTTTATTGGGCAGCATTTCAAAGGGACACCCAATAGAAAACCGCCATCTTGGTGGGAGGAACCCTGAAACAAGACACACCCTTATGCTGTTCATCCATGATGCAGCCATGATGATGGTAATCAAGATGTCGGTTGGGCCGAATCCAAGCTCATGCAGGACCTGGCATCGAGCCATACATCACGATTCCTTGTCAAGTTCGGAGATGTACAGCGGAGGTCACCTGATTTGAGGGTACCCCTTTCGTCTGGTTTTAACTGGACCGCCATTTTGGGGCTCTAAAACAAAGATACACCCAGCTCTGATTCCAGAAGACTCGTCTTGAGGCACAGGGATCCGGATGCATTATACACCTGAACACTGCAACTTGTAAATGGTGGTGTCCAACTTTATTTTGGTGTTGAAAAAACAACATGTTTCAAATGGTTGCAAAATGGAGATCTTTTAAGGAGCCCTGAGGCAAGACAATCACTGCCGCTGCCTTGTTCACCAAGTGCTCTGTGAGGAAGCCCCAGGCTTCCTCAAACTCGTCCTGGCCGGTGGCAAACGCGATACCAGCCATGTGTGGCTCAAAATGAAACGATCGGTTCCCCTTGGTCAAAACGATCGGTTCCCTTTAAGGGAATATGGAACACCAGCCACTTGGGTGTGGCTCAAAACGAAACGATCGGGGTTGGCCAGCCGCCAGGTTTTGGGGCCGCAGCCATCCGTTTCTCAGCTCCAGGCCATCCATTGAACCGGCATGGCCATGGGTCAAAACCCAAATCGGTGAGGTTCCAGTGAACATCGATTCAATCCAACCACTAGAATAGAGTGACTAAAATGGGCGGGGACTTCACCTAGCAACCAAAATGGGATCCCGTTTAACGGTTTTGACCACCACAGCCATATTCAAAAAAGGCAAGCCGTGTGGTCTGTCGCGATCCCGAAGCTCACCAAGCAGCGCTTTGGTTGTCGTCTTTAACTCTCAGTCCTGTGTGATGAGCCCAGAGCCATCGGAGTCGGCATATGCAAACATCTTCTCGATCATGTTGGGATCCAACGAAGAGTTCATCGCCTAAGCGATCAGTCCACCGGACCACTTGGTAATTCATGAGATGGGCAGTTGCCGAGTTTCGGTACAAAGCGCTATCCCTTTTCGCTCAAATGCGGGCAACCATGGGGAGGTTCTGTCTGCAATCGGACATCCCTTCGCGACGCAAAACGCGGGCAACCATAAATAGAGCTTTGAGCTTGACATGGGTGTCTTTTTTCGAGGGCACCCCTCTTTTAAAGTGGTTTTAAAGGGGATCCAAAAGCCACCCGTTGCGCCATTGTGTGGCTCCAACATGGTCCAACCTAAAAAACGACCAAACGCCCCCCCGCCCCCGTTGAATCCGCTTGCGCTGAGTTCGGCTGAGCCACCGTGAAGAGCTTTTTGAACTCCTGCGGCTGCTCGTTTTGCCGTTGCTGGCGCCAAAAGGAAAACCGATGCACCGTTCTTGGGGGTCCCCGAACAACACACACATATCTCTATATATATATATGGACCCTCTTTGGTGCATCAACAAAAGTATGCACATATATGGACCCTCTTTGGTGCTGGAACAAACACATGCCTGTCCTCGATGGTGATGGTGCCTGAGACATCCGCGTCCAGGGTCGCAAACACGTCCCCCGGGGTTACTTTGCGTCTGGTCCGCTCCTGCCAAGGTTTTGCATGCATCCAGCCTGCAATCTTTCGTCAAATGCTGCCCGCTCCAGTGAACCTCCCAAAACATAGCTTCAGCTTCAGCTTTCCTGCTGGAACTCGTCAAAGGCAGCTGTTGACTCATCCACCTAAGCTGCACGGACAAAAAAATCCCACGGCGACGCCCGGGGCGACGCGTTGGCCGACTCCGACTCTGACTCCTGCCTTCTTCTTTGCCGTGGCCCGCTTTGCTTCCAGCTTTCGCAAGCCGCTCAGCATGGCACTGTTGTGCCTCTGCAGCTGGATCTCCTGAAGTTTCCGGATGTTGCACGCTAAAACAGCAGCCGTGATCGCGCACATGCTCAGAGATGTTTTGCTCATCGAATGTACCAGGCAAATTGCAAACATCCCAGTGGCTTCCTCTAGGCATGGCTCACCAAACCAAACTGCTCAGCTTGGCTCTCGCAAGCGCCACTTGCCTGCTGCACCGTCTTGAGACAACTTTGGAGCTTCTCGTCGATCATAGAGAAGGCCTTCTTTCGCATCATTGTGGCGGCCTCGTTCATCTCCTGACCGCTCGCGCTGTTTTGTCAGGGAACGTGGCTGAAAAAGTTGCGCCTTTTCAATGGTCTTACATCCGCTCCTTTCCACTTCCATTGCACAACTTTTTGGTGCTCAACAAGGAATGAGGAAATCCTCCCAAGAAATGGTGGTTTCCTTTAAGGGGACCAAAAGCCTGGGTTCGTTCCCACATTCGTTGTCGCACCAGCAACACAAAGGTCACTTTCCTGGCACTGATCTGTCGGGGTGCTCGTGCTGCTGTGCCGCTCGGGAATTAATTGCTCGGACTCAAAGTCTTCATTTTGCTCCGATCTGAGTTTCTTTTTTTGAGGTGGGTTCAAAATGCAAGGCAACTCTGAATCTTGCAGCAGCATGTCTGCAAGCTATGAACGTGCATCTGAAATGATGTCTCCATCACAAGGATTCTGCGCTAGAACGACCCTAAATTGTTGAGATCAGTCAAAGCAACTCTCTGGTCAGATGCGTCTGCCTGCTTGCTGCGCAGAGTGCTAGCACGCACGCATAAATGTATACGCATGTAATGCAATGTCATGTAAACTCATGTAAACAAATGCCATTTGTTGTAATGTAACATAATGTAAAGTGACAGCTATAACCTGTTGCAATGGGTAGGTGCGTGGGCGGAGTGGGTGGCCAGGCAGGTAGGTAGGTTAGGTCAGGTCGGGTCACCTAGGTGGGCATGCGTGCATGAATCTATGTACTTGTGTGTGTGTGTGAGTATATGTATACCTTGTACACCCAGTTGCAGCATGACGTGCGGAATGCACGGCGAGCTTGCCATTGCCTTCCGGTTGCACTCTCACGCAACACATGCTGCTCTGAAGTGCAAAGCGCTATGAGATTCTTTGGCAGCCAAAGGCCGGAAAACATAATAGTAAGATATGTTCTTTACATTTGTTCAGCATTTGTACATTGGCTTTGGTGGTCATTTAACATATCATTTGGAATACACCCTTGATTAAGCTTCTGATTGTCCGAAAGGTCTGATTCAGTGCCATACTCAGAGTTCCATGTATTGTAAATGAAGCTCTTGCACATAGATGAACATACAAGTAGCACACTCAGCATTTCAGCGATTGAAATGTTTACTGTTTGGTTGACGCTGGTGTGTCTGGTGTGTCGGGTATGTCTTTTCACGATGTTATTTCTGTGTTCCATGTGGTGTATCATGTTGTTCATCACTTTGGTTCTCATTGCGATTCTGGTTATCATTGCGGACATGAGTTGTTTATCATGTTGGGATTGAAAGGTTCCCATTGAGCGGTTCGATGCTTGAGGCTGAAAAACAACTGTATTATAATATACATATATATATATATGTCGTTTTTTTTTGCGTCGTGGGGTTGTCTTTTCTTTTTATCATTTCATTCTCGTTAAGGATTTTGACATTTGGATAGCCTGATTTGCCATTTGTTGCTCATGTTTGAGTTCTGCAGCCTACTGGTTACAATGCTGATGGCAGCGCTAATGATAAAATCTGAGAACCCTTCAGGGACCGGGGAGAATCGATGACCCTATCCCAAGCTGTCGAAATGGCCCAACAAGTGCAGAAAAGGCTCAGAGTTTGTAAATGGGTCTGTGTTTGTTTTTTTTTTTGGGGGGGGGACCCTTTTTGGCCGCGGTTTTTGCAGGAAAAATACCAGGAGCGCCGAAATCCGTTTTGGGGGTCCAACAAAGACGAGCCATGGCAGGTGCCATTTTGGAAAGAGAGGGCCCTGCCCAGAGCTGTGACAGGAAGCTACAATCAGCGCAGCTCCTTCCAGAGTGTCACCACCACAACCCCAAAGACGATCACAGCCTGAGCAGTGACCGTTCACACGCGCACAGCAAGTTTTGGTAGATCTCGATTCTTGGCTGAAACGTCAAAGATGTCTATGAAACACAGCGGAGTACCAGGCCTTCAGTCAGCGAGCTTGCAAGTTCCGCTTGCCATGTGCGAACAGTCTTGGCTGAGATCGCGGCGGCGCCGTAGGGCAAGTACTTCACCGGGGAGAGGATGGTAGCCAAGATGCACCACGAGGCCGTGACGCCGACCTCAGAACGATTGAGCGGAGTCGCAAGATCTCAACGCACAGAACACTCCCTCCCGCCAACACCCTAATGTTGACCCAGGATGAATAGACCCGTCTCACTATTAGGGGGGTGTTCCCTCCAAAAGTGGTCTGAGTGCCCACTAAAAGGAATTGGAAACCCCCCCCTAGTAATCAACCATGGGTTTATTAATCCTTACAACCGCGGATGCGGCGGGCCCCCGGCCCAGGCAGTGATTCCAACCGTCTCCACCAAGAGCACGATGGCGAAGAACCAGTCATATGCCCTGGCGCTTTTAACCGAAAACGCTCGACGCAAACAAAGCCATGGCTTTTGTGGGTGACCACATGGCTTTGTTCTCATCATGGGTACCAAAGCCATGGCTTTTGTGGGTGACCACATGGCTTTTGTGGGTTCTCATCATGGGTATCACCCACTTACCAAGGTGACACAAACCGCCGACCGCCTCTTGATCCTGCGCTCTGGGACAACATAGTGCAGCAGCACCCTGATGGTGGCCAACACCTCATGAGGTCTCAACGCTCAAGCGGCAAGCGGCAAGCGGCTCGTTCCCGTACAAGCGTGCACCCACGGGCCTCATGCCACGCATGATGTGGGCGTGGCTCAAAACTAAACCAGGGGACCACACATTTTGGTTGTCCATTTACCAGGGTTTCATTTTGGGGACCGATTCTTGACCCACACCCACATCATGGTCTCACTGCCGTGATTGAAGGCTGAGGTGCGATGTAGACAAACTGCGTCGACAGGATGAAGGCGGTCAAGAACAACACCTGCACGCAAACACGGCAAGGCTTTGGAACAGTCAAACCTGCTTCAACCACCAAGGTAGCAACCTGTTGGTTTACTTTCAAGCCTTTCACAATCTCTCTGCGCAAGCATTCCGGACCTGTTGTCCTTTGGAACGGCTTGGTCTGTGCTCCACATGTGCAAGTTTTCACCTGTTCCTGTTCCTGGTTCGCAGTTGCGGGAGGCAGTGCGGGGTGGGTGGGTGGTGGTTGCATGCGGTGAGCAAAATCATTCCAATTCAACTGAGCGTCTTTCGATCGTTGTTGCCACCAATTGTTCAAAACAACCGATGTGCCAGTATCAATGTCAATTAAATCCCATGTATTGGTCAATCAACATTTCAACTGCTTGTTACGTCACGTTCAGTCGCATTCGGACCTCCATCGTCTTTTCAATAGACATCGCTAGAACGAGTTTCAGTCAGAAGCAGCCCAACAGTACTAAGCACCGTACGTTCCAGTGCTTGCATTGAGCCGGTTTACTGAGGGTTGGCCTGTTGTCAGAACACGCCCGCCCGCCCCACTCGTCCAGTGCCAAAGGAGAGCGCGCAACGTGGCAATCTTAGGAATGGGAAAACATAGGAGCACAACAAACAAAGTCAGTAGCATTGCCAAGCGAGCAGAACTGCAGCGCTTGCTTGTAGATGGCTGCGCAGAGATGTTGTCTAGGGTTTGGCCAGCCTGCAAGCTAGGGAAAGCACCACCCAAAACCACGCATACAGATATACGTGTATGTATATATATAAATAATGTATATATATATATAATGTGTATATATATATACATATATAGAGAGATTCAACGCATATATATATATATATGCCCCCCCCCGGCAGGGCCCATCTTTTGACTTGTACAGTCTAGAAGAACTGATACTTTCAAAAGTAGGGGGTGAGCATACATAAATATATATATACATATAAATATGTACATTTGTCGCTTTGATGTCACTGACCTATACTTCATACACAGTTTCCTTTATATTTTACTCTGCTGCTAGAAGCTCAAACAAGGTCATTCAAAGTATATCTTTTTTCTTGCATAGTAGATATGATGTCAGAAGCCAGTGAAATGGAAACGGCCCCAAAGTCCAAAGACAATGTCGTGGACTTGCCTCGTGGTCCTGTCTCGCCTACTGACCTTCCTCTTGATCATCCCCAGGACAAGAGCAAGGCAAAGCACTTCTTCGACTTTGTTGGCCCTGTAGCCTTTGATGCTACTTTGCAATCTCAAGTCTGTCTCGCGGCCAAGGATGGCCGCTTTGCGGACATGCCAGCGCCCTTTCGCTTGAAGACTTCTCCTGGTATGTCATATAGTCTTCAACTTGTTGTTCTTCCTCTTCCTAATGGGCAGCACTTCCTCCTGAAGCACATCATCTTCCCGGATCAAGTTAAGGCCGAGTTCGTCTCCACCCTTTGTCATGGAGAAGTTAGAGACTTCTGGAAAGTTTTGTAGCACGATGCTTTTGTGAAAAAGCTCAGCAATCTGTCTTCCATTCTTCATAAGTAAAGGAACTGATTTGTTTGCATTTGTTTGAGCCTGTGCAGGTTTTAAGCACCCAAGGCTCCAAAACCTGCACAGGCTCACAAAATGCAAACAATCCAAACCTGAAAGCTCCAAAACCTGCACAGGCTCACAAAATGCAGAAAAATACAAAAATCCAGACCAATCAAGCCCCTGCCTCTGACATTGCATCCGGGTTTTGCATTTTTTGCATTTCTTTGAGCCTGTGCAGGTTTTGAGTCTGAAACCATCAAAAAACGTTAAAAAAAAAAAAAAAAAACGAAACACCAAAAACACACGTTTTTTTGCAGTTTCCTTGAAACACACTGCAAATAGCAGTGTTTTCAACACTGACAAAGTTGCATCTGAAAACGCTTTCCGTTTTCGTGTTTGTTGCTTTCTTGAATCCTGTTTTGCATCAAGCACAGAAAGAAGATCTGAGAAAATATCAACAAATGCCCAAACACACTGTAAATTACTGTTTTCTGCAATGCAGCTGCAAACCAAGTGGACACTGAACATCTGCAAATCAATCTCTTTCATGCAAAAAGGAAAAAGGTGGGCCCGGGGGGGGGGGGGGGTGACCATATATTGTGTATATACACACACGTCACCACTCATGCATGGCTTCATCTATTCCTTGCGCGTTCGCGCCTGGCGGCCGCCGGCGTCAAAGCCGATGTAGGGCAAGGCCTCGGTGCTCGAGCGGTCAAGGGTTAAGGGATGTCAAGGGGCGGGGCTCTGGGGGTCTGGGGGGGCATGCCCGGGCGGGGGTGGGGGGACCGGGAGCCATGGACCATATATCTCTGTATGTATATATATATATATATTTAAATCTCTCTCTCTATATTTATACATGTAACATGTATATGAATGCGTGAATGACTTTGCCATGGTCAAAAGACCGTTTTTCACTCTCACTTTTTTTCCTTGTGGTCACCGTTGCAGCGACCGTGGCACACGGACGAGGCTCACCGAAAGGGAAGGGTGAACGTTGGGATGGTAAGCATCATGAACTGTTCTGATTCCAAGGGACCCGAAAGGGAAGTCATGTGCCATAGGGTTGATCAATATTCCCGACCCCATGGACAAGTTTTGTCCCAGGGAAACAACAAATTCAGTGGTGTTCAACCCATGATCCTAATAACAGGACCTTGCAATCAAACCCAAAAATATGTGGCGCGTCGTTCTGAGTTGGTTCCCTCCAATGGCAGGGCTGGGAAGATGAAAGCCTTGGGGAAGCGCTTCCACTGTCCACTTTGGAAGATGGGCGCCCCTGGTTTTGGTGGTAAACGGAAATCGGGAGGACAACCACCATGTGTCATATTATTATTATTATTGTTATTTGTTTTGGGGGGTCCCCTGAACAAGGCACACCGAAATGTATGGATTCAGCTCAACTTGGCCCCTACCAAGCAACTCAAGCGGAAGGTAAAAGGAAAGTGAGAGGAGCCGTCTGTATTGTGGACACATACAAACAGGCATTTGTGCTTGGGCAAAGCATTTCTCCATCTCAACTTTAGTTGGTTGAACCATGACCAGTCCTTCTGCAGACCAAGCTTAAAGGCAGTCCGAGTCGGCTCAAGCGCTGAGTCCTCCGCTGTTCCAAGGACGTCCATCATCTGCACCGGGGTGTCTGTTACCTTAAGCAGCGAGCTGACAGGTGACCCGAAGCAACGGAGTGCTTCTCGGAGTTGCCATCCAAGAACTTTGTGTGCGAAAGTAGGGAGCGCCCTAGAAATGGTGGGGTTTCTTTTGGTTTTCCAACCCAGGGTGAAACGGTCACTTCAAACAAGTGCTCTCCCATCTTGACATCCGCGACCCCTCCGGCCGAAATGAACCGGCTCAAGTCCAAAGTCGATCCGAAGAGCGGTGGTCTGAGCGTAGACCTGCTGAGCACCTAGTGCATTGAGGGAGATGAGCAGCGCAGGCAGCACAAGGACCAGGATGTCCACCAAAACCTCGCGGAACACTTCGGCCAATGTTCTGAGCTTTCGGCCATCCCACGAAGTGTTCCACTCAAGTCAGGGCGCCAACACATATCCCGGACGTCTTTTGGATACTCCTTTTCTCCCAAATGGTGGTGGTCCTCTTAATTTCCCCTTTAAACAACAAAACACACACACACACACAAAAAAAAACCCTTAAAGAAAGCCACCAAAGGGGTACCGGTACCCGTAGCACCCCTTTTCGATCCGCGCTTCGCAAGCGCTGGCTCTCCGCTCGATCCGATCCACGCCTCCAAGAAGTCCGCGATGAGCTGGCGACAGTCCAAGACCAGCTTTGGCTCCGTGGCCAGGGAGCAGTGCAAAATCTTCTGCACCTCCACCTGACACGTTCTTTCCCATTTTTTGAAGGTCGGATCCAACAAGCCGTCAAAGGGTTGTTCGTCTTCTTCTTCATTTTTTTCTATCCTTTTTGATTATTGAAGATTTGTTATTTCCCTTTGTTTAGGTTGGACCCAACAAGCCAAAAGGCTTGCTTTTTTCTTTGGGTTTCTGTTTTAAAGGTTTGTTTTTTTCCCGCTGTTCAGGTTGGATCCAACAAGCCAAACGATTGTTTGCTTGTCTTGGGTGTCTTTTTCGCTTTCCTTTTGGTTTCCCCTTCAAGTAACACCAAAAAGGCTACCAACTCCACAAAAAGGAATCACACCCAAGGACCTAAGAGAGCATACGTGCTCGTCCTTCTAGGATTTGGACCCGATACCCAAAATGGAGCTAAAAAAAGGGGTTTTCATCTTGGTTTCCCTTTGACAAAACAACAAGAAGGATACCCTCAAAAAGAAGACACACCCAAATGATCTCCTTACCGTAGGTGACATCTCGGACAAATCGACGGGGGAACAAAACCGATCAAAACCCGCGTAACCCATCTATGTCTAACCAAACACACCTAGGACATGCCCCTTACCCGTTGGTGGTTTGGATTGGCTCGGTGGGTTGGTTATTCCCATTCACCCACAAGAACAAGGTCAAACCAATCCAAACTAGCAGGGGGTTACCTGAGATACCCCAATAACAGGGTGAGCACACCTGGACGCCTGCCTGGCATTACTCGAGCGAACATGCCCACAGAAAAGCTCTGCCACGTGCGTGTGCGCTGCGTGTGCGTGTGCTGCACAAAACGTTTTTCTGTCTGCATGTTCAGATGCCTGCATTGATTTCAAACATAATCATGAGCTGAGCCTCGATTACTTCGTTGACCCATCAAAAAAAGCCACGCCTGGCACGTCAGGTCCCATTCATTTTGACCATCCCAGAGAACCCCTCGCTCTTGCCTCCTGGTAGATGGAGTCGTTGACCAAGGCCCACGCCGAAAGGCCCATCCTGGGCGCCGACCGGAAAGTCGTCAAAGCCCTCCATTCAGCTCTCAGGATCTTTTTCGGAAGGGAAAAGTGTGGAAGTTCGGAAAGATGCTGCACCTCTTTGACAAGATACATGGGATAAATCGTCACCCTGAAAATGTATGAAGATTTGCATGCAATGAGTCTCTGTTGCACCCCTCTGCGGGCAAAAAGAGTGTCGACTCCTTGGCCGAGGTTTGCCCAAGGATCTGCATTACTTTTGGTCGCTAGTTTTGCCCCGAACAAAAAACAGATCCCCGTCTCCCGGAATATCGGTTACTCAGGGACTGCAAGGCTTGGGACTTGTCTCCAAGAGGAACCCCCAAAATGGGTTGGTTCTCTTTTGCCCCTGGTAGACCAACTCGCACGGAAAAAACAACACATGCGCCATACTCATTTCCGTTTTTCAGGGTCCATCCGTCGGCAGGGGTCCCTATATTTCCCCTTAAAGCATCACCACGATTGCAACAAACTCGGGGGTGCAATCGTGGAAATACGGGTGTGTCCTTTTTTGAGTGGACCCCCAAAATGGCATTCGGTTTTCCATTTGAGACATAATCAATACCCGGTACAAAAATGGTGCACCCAGAACCATGTGAAGAACTAAGAAGGCGGCCGCTATTTATGGTTTTGATCAAGTGGCTCATTTTTACATTTTTTCGAAACCCAACCAGGGGGTTGCCAACTCCAACGGGCAGGGCCCCATTACAAGAACCGTCGAGTCGAGTGGCAGCTCACTCTCGCGGCTCAAAGGATCCATCTCCTCTGGGGCCACCGGGGTGAGGTTCCTCTCGGAGCACCTCCGTTCCGCAGCAAATTCGGAGCTTTACCCGGGCAAACCCCTCCAGTGAGGCTTTCTGAACAAGAACATCCCCTCGCCCAAACTCAACCAGGGGTTCTGGCCCCACATTCAACAATCTACAGAAAACATGGAGATGTGGAGTCCCTTTTTTGGAAAAAACTCGACTCATGCGACATCATGCGACTGATATGGAAGGACGCGGGCCGCGGGGGTTGGGCAGGGATCCAAATGCCCTTTCTGGACAAAGCTCAACGTGTTTCGCAAGAAAAGGATATTCTACTCCAAATGAGCTTTTCACGCGGGTTCTGTTTGAGGCTTAGAACAACACCCAACACGGGGTGAACATGCTAAGCCACACTTCGTGCCTCAGATCCGTGCGCGCGACACTTTTCCATCGAGAAAAGATGGCCACCGACCCGTTTCCCCAAGCCCCCAGCTCGAATGGACGGTGTCCTTCCTTTGAGGCGGTGTTTGAAAAGGGACACCACAAGGCACACCCGCCATTCGGGGGCTCAACAAACACGAGCCACCCAAATGGCCCCAAACGGCCTTTCGATCATTGGAAGCTTCAGTTGGTGTCTGATTTGAGAGTAAATCAATCCGACGTCTGATTTGCCCAGAGCCCAAAACCGGCGAAACCAACACGGAAGCTGAACCACACCCAATTCTGAACACATCCAGAGGCCATCGGTTCAAGGCCGGGCCACGGAAATGTTGGTGTCCGATTTCCCTCCAAAAACACCATAGGGGGTCTTTCCCAGAGCAACACGCCATCTCAGCATCACAAGCTGTTGATACGGCTCCGTCATTAGAAGAGTTGTATGGATCACACACACACAAGCAACATGAAGAGCGTCCATACTTGCGAAAATATTATACGATGTACATGCTTTACCGTCTATCCTAAATAGCCGCTTGCCTTCTCTTGCGTCGATGAATGCAGCCAAAATGCCAGTTGAAATACTTCTGCCGCATGCCGATT